AGCAGAAAAACACCCCCAAAGCAGAATGTTCCCACCACCATGTTTGACAGTTGGGATGGTGTTCTTGGGGTCATAGGCAGCATTCCTCCTCCTCCAAACACGGCGAGTTGAGTTGATGCCAAAGAGCTCGATTTTGGTTTCATCTGACCACAACACTTTCCACCAGTCCTCCTCTGCATCATTCAGATGTTCAGTGGCAAACTTCAGACGGGCCTGGACATGTGCTTTTTTGAGCAGAGGGACCTTGCGGGCACTGCAGGATTTCAATCCTTGTCGGCGTAGTGTGTTACCAATTGTTTTCTTGGTGAATGTGGTCCCAGCTGCCTGGAGATCATTGACAAGATCCTCACGTGTAGTTCTGGGATGATTCCTCACTGTTCTCATGATCATTGACACTCCATGAGGTGAGATCTTGCATGGTGCACCAGACCTAGGGAGACTGACAGCTGTTTTGTGTTTCTTTCATTTGTGAATGATTGCACCAGCTGTTGTCACCTTCTCACCAAGCTGCTTGGCGATAGTTTGGTAGCCCAATCCAGCCTTGTGTAGGTCTACAATCTTGTCCCTAAAATTCTTGGACAGCTCTTTGGTCTTTGCCATGGTGGAGAGTTTGGAATCTGATTGTTTGATTGCTCCTGTGGATATGAGATTAGCAGCACTCCCTTTAAGAGACTGCTTCTAATCTCAGCTTGTTATCTGTATGAAAGACACCTGGTAGCCAGAAATCCTGCTGAATGATGGGGGATCAAATACTTATTTCCCTCATGAACATGCAAATCAGTCATCATTTGTTAGACATGCATTTCTGCTGAATTTTTTTGTAGCTATGTACACCGAACATTCGATTTTTAGACTGATCATTTCTTTGTGAGTGGGCAAACATTCAAAATCAGCAGGGGATCAAATACGCATTTCCTTCACTGTATATACTCTGTGTTGTACATTCCATACTCCTGACCCCTGCACTACATACTCTACAGGTGAAACTCGAAAAATTTGAATATGGTGCAAAAGTTCATTTATTTTAGTGCAGCAACTTAAAAGGTGAAACTAATATATGAGATAGACTCATTACATGCAAAGCAAGATAGTTCAAGCCGTGATTTGTCATCATTGTGATGATTATGGCTTACAGCTCATGAAAACCCCAAATCCACAATCTCAGAAAATGACAATATTACATGCAATCAATAAAACACGGATTGTACATAGAACAATATCGGACCTCTGAAAAGTATAAACATGCATATGTACTCAGTACTTGGTTTGGGCCCCTTTTGCAGCAATTACTGCCTCAATGCGGCGTGGCATGGAAGCTATCAGCCTGTGGCACTGCTGAGGTGTTATGGAAGACCAGGATGCTTCAATAGCGGCCTTCAGCTCTTCTGCATTGTTTGGTCTCATGTCTCTCATCTTTCTCTTGGCAATGCCCCATAGATTCTCTATGGGGTTCAGGTCAGGCGAGTTTGCTGGCCAATCAAGCACAGTAATCCCACGGTCATTGAACCAGGTGTTAATGCTTTTGGCAGTGTGGGCGGTGCCAAGTCCTGCTGGAAAATGAAGTCAGCATCCCCATAAAGCTCGTCTGCGGGAGGAAGCATGAAGTGCTCCAAAATCTCCTGGTAGACGGCTGCGTTGACCCTGGACTTAATGAAGCACAGTGGACCAAAACTAGCAGATGACATGGCTCCCCAAATCAACACAGACTGTGGAAACTTCACACTGGACTTCAAGCATCTTGCAGTGTGTGCCTCTCCAATTCTTCCTCCATACTCGGGGTCCTTGGGCCTCTCCATTCTTCCTCCATACTCGGGGTCCTTGTGCCTTTCCATTCTTCCTCCATACTCGGGGTCCTTGTGCCTCTCCATTCTTCCTCCATACTCAGGGTCCTTCGGGGCCTCTCCATTCTTCCTCCATACTCGGGGTCCTTGGGCCTCTCCATTCTTCCTCCATACTCGGGGTCCTTGGTTTACAAATGAGATGCAGGTCTGTTTTTCTTTAGTCCAGGTAAGACGCTTCTGACATTGTTTGTTGTTCAGGAGCGGCTTGACAAAAGGAATACGACATTTGAAGCCCATGTCCAGGAACCGTCTGTGTGTGGTGGCTCTTGATGCACTGACTCCAGCCTCAGTCCACTCCTTGTGAAAGTCCCCAACACTTTTGAATGGCCTTTTCCTGACAATCCTCTCCAGGCTGCGGTCATCCCTGCTGCTTGTGCACCTTTTTCTTCCACACTTTTCCCTTCCACATAACTTTCTATTAATGTGCTTTGATACAGCACTTTGGGAACATCGCCCAAACTTCTTTTGCAATTACCTTTTGAGGCTTTCCCTCCTTATGGAGGGGTGTCAATGATGGATATCTTTTCTGCACAACTGTCAGGTCAGCAGTCTTTCCCATGATTGTGATTCCTACTGAAACCAGACTGAGAGACCATTTATTAAGGCTCAGGAACCCTTTGCAGGTGTTATGGCTTAATTAGCTGATTAGAGTGGGACACTTTGAGACCGAGAATATTGCACCTTTTCACAATATTCTCATTTTCTGAGATTGTGGATTTGGGGTTTTCATGAGCTGTAAGCCATAATCATCACAATGATGACAAATCACAGCTTGATAAAGAATAATTAAATTATTAACATTAAATTAATTCAAATTATGATACAAATAACTAATAAAAGTGTATACATACCAAAGAATATTTAAATAGATAATTTCAGCTAATCAATCTCCTCCAAATAAATATCAAAATAATTCCACATGAAATACTCCTCTAAAAAAATATTTTGCCAAGTGCTCATAAATCATCTATTAGTGACATGATGTACTTACTAATACCCTCAATTTCACTTATATTCATAATACCCTCCGTAGCCCCTCCCCTACGCGTTACGCCTCCAATCACGTGGCTTCATCAGGGGGTTGTGATAGGATGTGATATCACAACCCCCCTGATGAAGCCACGTGATTGGAGGCGTAACGCGTAAGGGAGGGGCTACGTCATCACTCGGAGAGGAGCCGCACAACACGATAGACGACAGGTGTATGACTCAGAGCCAGCAGAGGATTTCCAATGGGATATTGTGTTACTTAAACCTGTCTAATGTGAGTTTAATACTTGGATGGTGGGAATAAAAAGTTTTAAAAGGTAAAGCACTATGTCCTCTATTTCTTCCTGCATGCGGAGTAACACAAGGAGAGGATAATTAGGAGGTCTGAGATAACAAAAGGAGTGTGTAATCCCTGAGGGGATAATCAGCCACCAGAGGATACATCCATTACTCCTAAAGGAAGGATCTCCCTGTTTTACCAGCAAAAGTATATGTCCAGCAGGTTCCAGGGAAAGTGAACGGAAAGCATGTATAGCCTAATTGCAGGCATCAAAGGAGGTGAGCGCACATCTTCACTATTTGAAGAATTCACAAAAGTCACAAATTGAAGAACAACAAGCACCAAGTCACTATATATATAAACAATTGTTTATTCAATGTGACTATTATTTTGATGATATTTGGATTCATACTAATCACTACTAATTTATTTATGAGCATTTGGTTATCTTCATTTATGGGGGATCATTTATATGCGTTTTAGTTGAGGGTTATTAAGTTGGTTTACTATTTTTATTATATTAAATGAGGGTATTATGAATATAAATGAAATTGAGGGTATTAGTAAGTACATCATGTCACTAATAGATGATTTATGAGCACTTGGCAAAATATTTTTTTAGAGGAGTATTTCATGTGGAATTATTTTGATATTTATTTGGAGGAGATTGATTTAGTTGAAATTATCTATTTAAATATTCTTTGGTATGTATACACTTTTATTAGTTATTTGTATCCTAATTTGAATTAATTTAATGTTAATAATTTAATTATTATTTATTGAGAAGTATTTAGGAGCGCAACATATATTTGTAGATATTTCCAACACAGTTGTAGTTATGTGTTTCATGTTTGCGACTCTCTAGTAATTATCACACCTGTGGCTCGCAAGTCACTCTGATTCACCTATACCAAATCACGGCTTGAACTATCTTGCTTTGCATGTAATGAGTCTCATATATTAGTTTCACCTTTTAAGTTGCTGCACTGAAATAAATGAACTTTTGCACCATATTCTAATTTTTTGAGTTTCACCTGTATGTTGTACATTACATCATTCTGATACTATATAGTTCTATCTGCTGTATCTTATACAATATGTTGTACATTACATAGTCCTGCTTCTGCTCTCCCCCCTCCCCCCACTGCTATATATACACATTATATGGATTCTCTTTTGTTCCACCCATTTCCTACCAGCCGGACATTTTATATCGGATGATGTGATTGGAGCACAGACTTTTACATGGTGATAATAATGTGAGAACATCCTCCAACTTTGGACCCTTAAACAGAAAGTGATAATGAGGGAGGAGTCAATACCCCAATGATGGTGGTCTTCAGGATCAGTCCAGTCTTCATCTTGGTTGTTCTCCCCCCATCCTCACTCTCTGACCTCTGGTGGGGCTCAGCCCCGCTGTTCTTCATGACTAAATCATGGACGTGCAGTACTTCTTGTGTTGGGAAGATGGTGATGAGTGATAGAGGGGGTGGGGACCCTCGTCCTATAATCCCCTCATCACTGTCCCTCCTATAAAAGACAGTTCTGGTTGTTTCCTCACTCTCTGACTAAGGTCCATGAATAAAGAAATGACCTGGTAGGAGATCAGAGGAGCCATTTCCTAGTTCCCTTGAGGGTGGAATTGTAAGCTCCTCAGAGACAAAGCTGCCTGATGTGGGCGGAGTCCTGGTTTGGGGGAACCAATGAGCTCCTGTCTAGTAATCCTCTTTGTCTTTGTATTTTAGTCCATGGCCGGGAGATGAGGAAAATCTCCGAGGATTGTCTCACTTTGTCTCCAGACTGGAAGGTAGAAGATGAGGACATCACACAGTATAGTCCAGGAGAAAACCCGGCTCCCTCCAATGTCCATCCGGCACCACCCAGTGTAGATGGACCATCGGATTCCTCGTATCCGGAGGAACCTCAGACTGTGTGGGACCGGGCCGGCCTTCCAACAGGGAAGAGGTTTCCCTGTACTGAGTGCGGGAAGAGTTTTCTATTTTAAATCCGGACTTATTGTGCATAGAAGATCTCACACGGGGGAGAAGCCGTATTCCTGTCCTGAGTGCGGTAAATGTTTTTCAAAGACGTCCAGTCTCTACAGACATCAGAGATCTCACACATTGCAGAAGCCATATTCCTGTCCTGAGTGCGAGAAATGTTTTGCAGAGAAATCAAAACTTGTCAGACATCAGAGGTCTCACACCGGGGAGAAGCCATTTTTCTGTTTTGAGTGCGGGAAAAGTTTTTCAGTGAAATGCTCTCTTTCCACACATCAGAGATTGCACACAGACGGGAAGCCGTATTCCTGTCCTAAGTGCGGAAAATGCTTTGTAAAAAATTCACATCTTGTTGCACATCTGAAGACTCATACATTGGAGAAGCCATTTTCTTGTTCTGACTGTGAAAAACGTTTTGTAAAAAAGTCAGTACTTGTCAGACATCAGAGGTCTCACACGGGGGAAAAACCGTATTCCTGTTCGGAGTGTGGGAAGTGCTTTGTGCAAAAAAATCAAAACTTGTCTTACATCAGAGATCTCACACAGGGGAGAAGCCATTTTCCTGTCTTGAGTGCGGGAAATGTTTTTCAGATAAGTCCAATCTTTATAAACATCAGAGATATCACACAGGTGAAAAGCAATTTTCCTGTCCTGAGTGCGGGAAATGTTTTTTTTTCAGTTAAGTCCAGTCTTCACAGACATCAGCGATCACACATGGGGGGAGAAGCCACTTTCCTGTCCTGAGTGAGGGAAATGTTCCTCACTGAAGTCCTGTCTTCCTGTACATCAGGGGTACCACACAACCCTGGAGGTGTATTAGTGCCTTGAGTGCGGGAAATGTCTTCTAGATGAATGTTGCTGGACATCCCAGCTCTCATGTGGGGAAGAAGCACACCCTGATATACACCTCAGATATACTCCATGGCTGATCTTCTTCATGGAAAAAACAGTTCATAAGGAGATCAGAGGTCACCAAAGACATGGATGAAGTGTGGGACCGCGTTGGCCATTGATGGCAGGAGAAGAATAAAAAAAAACAATGGAGTCAATTTTGTAGTGTAAGCTTTCAAAAATTGTGCCCTATCATTAGCATCATTCGGAGGAATAGTGCTCCATCATTGGTGTCATTGGGATCTATTGTATATCATAGGAAGGAATTGTGCCCCATCATTGGTGTCATTGGGAGGAATTGTTCCCCATCTTGGGGAGGAATTGTGCCCCATCATTGGTGTCAGTGGGAGGAATTGTTCCCCATCATTGGGGGGAATTGTGCCCTATCATCAGTGGGGGAATTGTGCCCTATCATTGGGGGAATTGTGCCCTATCATTGGGAGGAATTGTGCCCTAACATTGGCATCATTCGGAGGAATAGTGCCCCATCATTGGTGTTATTGGGATCCATTGTTGTATATCATTGGAAGGAATTGTGCCCCATCAATGGTGTCAGTGGGAGGAATAGTACCCCATCAATGTTGTCAGTGGGAGGAATTGTGTCCTATCATTGGTGTCAGTGGGAGGAATAGTGCCCCATTATTTGGTGTCATTGGGATCCATTGTATATCATTGGAAGGAATTGTGCCCCATCGATGGTGTCATTGGGATCCATTGTTGTATATCATAGAAAGGAATAGTGCTCCATCATTGGTGTCATTGGGATCCATTGTTGTATATCATAGAAAGGAATAATGCTCCATCATTGGTGTCATTGGGATCTATTGTATATCATAGGAAGGAATTGTGCCCCATCATTGGTGTCAGTGGGAGGAATTGTGCCCTATCAATGGGAGGAATTGTGCCCCATTATTGGGAGGAATTGTGCCCCATCATTGGTGTCATTGGGAGGATTTGTGCCCTATCATTGGGAGGAACTGTGCCCTATCATTGGGAGGAATTTTGCCTTAACATTGGCATCATTCGGAGGAATAGTGCCCCATCATTGTTGTCATTGGGATCCATTGTTGTATATCATTGGAAGGAATTGTGCCCCATCATTGGGGTCGGTGGGAGGAATTGTGTCCTATCATTGGCATCATTGGGAGGAATAGTGCCCCATTATTGGTGTCATTGGGATCCATTGTATATCATTGGAAGGAATTGTGCCCCATCGATGGTGTCATTGGGATCCATTGTTGTATATCATTGGAAAGAATTGTGCCTAATCGATGGTGTTAGTGGGAGGAATTGTGTCCTATCATTGGCATCAGTGGAAGAAATAGTGCCCCATCATTGGTGTCATTGAGATCCATTGTTGTATATCATTGGAAGGAATTGTTCCCCATCATTGGGGGGAATTGTGCCCCATCATTGGTGTCAGTGGGAGGAATTGTGTCCTATCATTGGCATCAGTGGAAGAAATAGTGCCCCATCATTGGTGTCATTGAGATCCATTGTTGTATATCATTGGAAGGAATTGTTCCCCATCATTGGGGGGAATTGTGCCCCATCATTGGTGTCAGTGGGAGGAATTGTGCCCTATCATTGGGGGGAATTGTGCCCTATCATTGGGAGGAATTGTGCCCTAACATTGGCATCATTCGGAGGAATAGTGCCCCATCATTGGTGTTATTGGGATCCATTGTTGTATATCATTGGAAGGAATTGTGCCCCATCAATGGTGTCAGTGGGAGGAATAGTACCCCATCAATGGTGTCAGTAGGAGGAATTGTGTCCTATCATTGGTGTCAGTGGGAGGAATAGTGCCCCATTATTTGGTGTCATTGGGATCCATTGTATATCATTGGAAGGAATTGTGCCCCATCGATGGTGTCATTGGGATCCATTGTTGTATATCATAGAAAGGAATAGTGCTCCATCATTGGTGTCATTGGGATCTATTGTATATCATAGGAAGGAATTGTGCCCCATCATTGGTGTCAGTGGGAGGAATTGTGCCCTATCAATGGGAGGAATTGTGCCCCATTATTGGGAGGAATTGTGCCCCATCATTGGTGTCATTGGGAGGATTTGTGCCCTATCATTGGGAGGAACTGTGCCCTATCATTGGGAGGAATTTTGCCTTAACATTGGCATCATTCGGAGGAATAGTGCCCCATCATTTTTGTCATTGGGATCCATTGTTGTATATCATTGGAAGGAATTGTGCCCCATCATTGGGGTCAGTGGGAGGAATTGTGTCCTATCATTGGTGTCAGTGGAAGGAATAGTGCCCCATCATTGGTGTCATTGGGATCCATTGTATATCATTGGAAGGAATTGTGCCCCATCGATGGTGTCATTGGGATCCATTGTTGTATATCATTGGAAGGAATTGTGCCTAATCGATGGTGTTAGTGGGAGGAATTGTGTCCTATCATTGGCATCAGTGGAAGAAATAGTGCCCCATCATTGGTGTCATTGAGATCCATTGTTGTATATCATTGGAAGGAATTGTGCCCCATCATTGGTGTCAGTGGGAGGAATTGTGTCCTATCATTAGTGTCAGTGGAAGGAATAGTGCCCCATCATTGGTGTAATTGGGATCCATTGTTGTATATCATTGGAAGGAATTGTGCCCCATCATTGGTGTCAGTGGGAGGAATTGTGTCCTATCATTGGTGTCAGTGGAAGGAATAGTGCCCCATCATTGGTGTCATTGGGATCCATTGCTGTATATCATTGGAAGGAGCAGTGCAGGAGGGGGTTGCCGTTCATAAATGGCGTCCGCATGTACAGCCAGTGTGTGGCACTGATCGCTGTACGGGATCGATCGCGAACACCGATCACTGTACGATCCTGTGATCACTGATTGGCCAATCAGTGATCACATGAATAGTAGTAAGCAAGATTTCACTTCTGACATCATTGCTTACTACTAGTGAAATCTGTGAATGATCACAGAGGTCACATGGTGCAAGGGTATTCACAACAGCCTTGTACCATGTGACAAGCTGCGACCAATCAAAGCTCTCATGGTATTTCTCAATGGCTGCAAGAATGCAGCCAGAAAGAAGGAGAAATTATTGCTTTTACAGCCTTTATGGGTGTAAAAGCAATCCGTGTAAAAAAAAAAAAAATCTTCATCACCCCCCACAAGTAGTACAGTATCACCATGGTGACGCTATGTAAAAAAAAAAACACATAATAATATAAAAATGTAAAAAAAATTTGGGTTTTAAACTAATTTGGGTTATTTTGTTTTTTTTACTAAAAAGATAACGGAATAAATTTTGGCCAAGATTTATGAAGAAAGATTATTTATTTGCAAAAATTTTTTAAGAAAAACACTTCTTTTAAAACATTTTTGGACCTTTTCATTTATATAGCAAAAAAAAAATAAAAATCCCAGCGGCAAATAAATACCACCAAAATAAAGTTTTATCTGTCTCAAAAAAATGCTAAAATATTCATATGGGTACAGTGTTGTATGACCGCTCAACTGTCATTCAAAGTGTGACAGCGCTGAAAGCTGAAAAGTGGCATGGGAAGGAAGGGGGTGAAAGTGTCCGAACTGGAAGGGGTTAAAGACAGGAAGTATGGAGCAGATAAATGAATAGACCTCCCAGCAATTTTATATCCAGGCTGCAGCTAGGGGGAGCTCTAATGTTTTTAGAGTGTGACCATAGGAAAGTGATTCCATGTTTTTCTTTTTTTTTTTCTTACCATTGGGATCTTTTCTGCAATACTTTGTTATAATAATGAAACATGTTGTGTATTGTATTGTACGCAAATGAATAATGACTCCGCCTCCACATTCCAGACAAGGCATTTTCCTGACCAATCGGATTTCCATCTTTACAATTTCCTTAATTTTGACTGCAATCTTGTTAAAAGTAAAATTATAATAAAAAATGTATTGAACAACAAAAAATATAGTGTTGGTGCAATGATGATAAACTTCAATACACAAACATTGCTCATAGGCAACACCTAAAGCCTTCACAATATTGAATAATGTCCCAGGGTGTGGCCATCAGGAGTGTATCCTATACAGCCCACCATACAGAGAGCAGAGGGGGGCTGTAGTGTGCACCCTCCAACTATACCAGGCCACATGCCCACATCATGGGGGGTTCACTTTACTAGGGGGGATTCCCTCAGGCAGAGAACCTTGTCCCCTTGGTTGGTGGCTGCAGAGATCTGTGGGTGTGGGTCATACTGGATTCTGGGAACCCCCTTTAATAATATGGGGGCCCCATGTATGAATGAGTATGGGGTATATAGTACCCGACAATGGCACCAGCCCAATGACAGCTCCCTAAACTGTCATCATCTACAGGGACAGGGATGGTGGGGACCTTATTACCCAAATGTGACCAGTGACCATATTTGGCCAGTGATGTCACTGCTATCCCCGCCCCCTTCCTTACATGGCAGGGATTCCCAATGACATCACTGATTCCTGGGGGTGTGGCCACTGTACCCATCCATGTCTTCCTCAGGCACCAGTGACAGCGGGAAGCTGTTATATATAGAAGTGGTAGAAATGTCTCTTCTATATGTGATGATCGGCTCCTGCAAAACATGGGACCGAAACAGGCCTTATATCAGTGGTCAGTGTAGTGGTCCCTTACATTGGTGACCGATGTGAGAAGGACCCCCTTATATTAGTGGTCAGTGTAGTGGTCCCTTACATTGGTGACCAATGGGAGAAGTATCCCATTATATCAGTGGTCAGTGTAGTGGTCCCTTACATTGGTGACTAATGGGAGAAGGACCCCCTTATATCAGTGGTCAGTGTAG